TCAAGCAGTTGCAAGAAGTGTGTGTGTGTGTGTGTGTGTGTGTGTGTGTGTTTTCCTAGATGGACATAAACATAAGACATTCAAGAGACCCTGTCAAAATGTCTTGCATGTTTTTGAGAAAGAACAGAAGGAGCAAAAACATTTTCAGTCTGCAGACACATTCCTGCAGAGTGCATGTGAAGTGTGTTTTCCGCTCAGCTCTGCTACCGTGTCTAAGTTATGGGGGTTTTCCTTTGCATTAGAAAGCTCATTGGCTTTAAACTGTATGGATTATATATGGCTTATATGTGTCAATCTCTGGAAGTGGGATCCTCTTTTCTGTTTGAGTCACATTGCTTAAACTGTATCCTCTGCTTGCAGTTTGAGCAGTTTATGCTAGTGATTAAAGATGTCTGACTTCTACATTTTCTTTTGATTACAAGCACGTCTCTGGTGCACTGTTGACCTTTGGTTAGGATGCAGATTTTGGTTTCCAAGCCTGGGCTTATATCACTTCACCATATGTTCAGGAAACTATTTTAACTCTACAGTTTTAAGTTTAAGTTCCTATTTATAACCAATTTTCAAAAATATAAATGCATGTAAAATCTAAACAAGGAAAATTCCCTGGCTAAATAGAATTGTTTGCAATTAATGAATAATGCCTCTAAGTCCATATTACAAGTTCTCTTCAACACTGTGATGTCAAAACAGAGACAGAAACAGAGTGCGATTTTTGACAACACAAAAATATTCTGGAAATGTACTGTCGTCTTTTCTGTTTACTAGACCAAAAAAGAAAAACATTAAGAGAAAAATTTAAATAAGCAGGAGTGAGAGTGTAAGATACTCCTGGTGTATTCAGTAGGCATCCATGACAGTGAGAGAGTGATGAGAGGGAGAGTGGAGACGAGAAAGATAATAGAGGTGAGAGTAAGGTCAAAGCTTTGGTCTGTGTTAGCAATGGAAGGAAAAGCTCTTGTTTTTGGTCCTGCACTCAATCAGAAATGGAAGCAGCCAACCTACAGTACAAGGGGCTTGGAGGAGTGCCAGCTTTATTGACAGTGAAACAGAATCCATCGTCTTTTTTTTCCTTGACCTCTTTGCCTTTTTACCCCTGTGATAGTCTTTAAAAAGAGACGGAGACTGGTACCCAGAATAATCGTTGACTTGCTCTTTTGAACTCTTTGGATAGGTATTTGCACTGCTCCTTGAATGCTGTCTTCAAAAATATACATTTGTCCCACCAAACACGGCCTCATCATCACCACTGATGCCACAGAAGAACATCAGAATCAGAATCGGTTTATCAGAATCAGACCATTTCTTTCAAGTAAATTTTCACGAGATCAGTGGACGTGAAATCCCAGTTTTAATAAGCCTCTTCATTTTAAAATGGTTTTGGATTTTCCCCTCATGCCTTATTTACCACCTTAAATACTACATATACAGCCAAAGCATGGTATAATTTTACACTGGCACCATAATCTATTCTGTCTGTATAATCTAAGTTGAACAGTCTGCACTTCAGCACATTTCAGCAGCCCAACCCATTCTTTTAATGTTAACAGTGATAGAATTATAGCTAAAATAATTAAAGGTTGCTTTTATTCACAGGAGTGACAAGATTTTATTCACAACACTGATTTGTCACCAGAGCTGCAGAGATAATAGCTCAGCATGCTTGACAGGGTTTCTTTGCTTTCTTTTATGTGTTACAAGTGAGAACGTCTTCGTATGAATATGAGAAATGAAATTTGTTAGCACTGGTAATTCTGTGACTTCAGAGGGCTGATAGCGAGGGTGAAGTGTGCTGAGAAAGTGATCTAGGGCACAATGAGTAAGAGTGTAGTCCTCAGCGACATCCAGGCCTGCACACATGCGCATACTGTAAATGTGGGTGGATGTAAACCTACAGGACAGAAACAGCCAGTAAAATACACACTGACAGACAGGCAGATCTTAGCTGCCATTTCTGAAAAATAACTGGACATCAGCTGGAAAATATGTCTGCCTCCTGATGCATGTCAGTATTTTAGAGCATTTCTGGTCTGCACATCATCACAGCTGCTGTGCGTGGTGTGTGTGTGTGTGTGCGCAGGCATGTGCTCGGGTCTGCCTGCAAGCATGTGACTGTGGCACTGTTCCTCTTCTTGTAACTGTGCCACAGTTAATCCTCCACAGGGGCTCATCGCGGTGTTATTTCTTTACACATGATCAAAAAACTCAGCACCTGTGTTTGGGCTCGGGGAAAGATGTAGTGTACATACTGACCATTTAGTGCAGTGGTTCACCAGAGCTGAGATAAACAGAGATTTTTGCATTTTCATTGAGGGAGAAAGTGTATTTCTTAGCCCATCTGCATGAACGTATGGATTGCAATGTGGATTATTCGGTCAATCCACCAGATTACATCTCTCATCAAATTTTGTAGACATATATGGTACATGGTCCACTGAAAGGATAAGCCATCTCAACAATGGCAATCATAAGGTCAAAAATTTAACTTGTCCAATAATTTATGACTAAATATCTGTAAAACTAATGACCTTTCTGTCTGCCTCAGCTGCACTTTGTGTTCAGTGCTAATTCAGAAATATTAGCATGCAAACACATTTAACATGCTAACACACTATAACTGCTCAGTGTCAGCATGTTTGCGTTATTGTCAGCATGGCATGACATGAGCACTTGGCTCAAAGCACTGGTGTGCCTAGGTACAGCCTCATGGAGCTGCTGGTGTCACTGTAGATTTGCTGACAGTTTCTTTAAAAGTTTTTATTTGTGTGTGTGCTTGTGTAAAATCCAGGTCAGGCACAAATGATTATTCTGGGCAAAGTGTTAGTATTATGCCTTAAAACATATCTGGGTGGGATCTCTATCAGTGGATCCATCACAGAGCATGTGTTGCCTTCTAAAACAAACAACTGGTTTGCTTTTATTGTGAATATATTTTCTGACATTTTTACTTGTCCTCGTCTCCTCCTCTCCGCTCCTGATTCAGTAACAGCAGACAGCTGTGTCAAACAGTGGAAGAACTTTTGACATTGACTGGGAGTGATGAGGCAGTGCAAGCAGATGTCTTCCTCTTTGCTTTGGGAGAAACAGCATCCTTGACCTTGTCATGGCTAATTTTAGGGCTTGGCTTATCACAGCGCCAATGTTTATATCTCCCATTACACACACTGTCATTACAGACAAGCTTGTAATTATGGGCGCATTCTGCAGTCAGGATGTTCCTGGGGGTCATGTGCATACCTCAATGTGCACTCGCTGAGATAAGATGCAGTGGAGTATATACAGTATGTTGGTCATACAGACTTCTTTAGATGCATTTTATTAGCTTGATCTGTAGTTCACACATACCTGCTACACTTCAGTATACACACAGCACAACTTTCGTGGTCCCTCTCTTGTCCATCAAAGCTGTTGAACCCTTTTGTCTTCATCTACTCAAAGACACTGCATGCTTTAATTTTCTGTGAGCAGCTCATTTCTGTATCTCTGGGTCAGTATTTTCTCTTCTCCCAGCTGCTTTTTGATGGCTTGGTGCCTGGGCCAGAGTGCCAGACATGAGCCTCACAGCTGGGTGAACACAGGAGAGGAGGACAGTGCGGCACACTGAGAGACTTCCCCTCCTGCCTGCCAAATCTCTGTCCTGTTCAACAATGCCTTTGTGCGCTCGACTCATTTGTACATAGGGACACAAACTAACAAAACAAATGTCTAAAGCGCACATTGAGCATCACACGGTCACTGATGGTTTTATGTTTTTGTTTTTGCCTTTTTTACATATGCATGTTCATTTACAAAAATTTAAATAACCTGCATGTTTGCTCTGGACAGAAGGAGATGTCTGCCTCTTTTTCTGGCTCATTAGTAAATGGACCACAGCACAGAGCCTCTGCGCCCAAGTCTGCAATAGACAATGTAAACACCTATCATGCCTTTAGATTAAATGGAGGAGTTGTCAGTTGCTGGGCCAGGCTCCAACCATTGACCCTGACACCATTTTCTCTTCCCGTGTCTCGCTCACTCTTTGTAGTTCCCTTTATATTCCACTTCTGTCTCTCCCATAGCGGTTTATTCAGTCTATTTCATTCAAGGCCATCCTTTATGTCTTGGTGTCACTCTCCACCGCTTCTCTTTACAAGAGTTACACACACTTTATTGTGTCTTTACAGCAGCAGCGAGTGAGGGTGTCACTCAAATAAGGTTATAACAACACAACAGGGAGACATTAAATGTACTTATACATTTACACAAGAATCATAGCTGTGTAAAGAGGAAGCTGGTGAAAATATAATTAGACAGCACTGGTGCAGTTATTGATCGAATCAGTATTGTGTGCTGCTTGCTTTCATGTGAAACACAATATCTACAGTATGTTTGCTGTAGTACAGTGCCTTATGACATAACGCTGTACTAACAATGCAATGATATTATGGATTTTATGTGTAATGGTTCTTTAATTTCACTTGTATGTGAAATACAGTATACTGTATATTAGATCCATGTCCTTAACATTTAACAGAATAGGAACAGGAAATATCAAATAAGTGGTTTGTTAAAATGCTTACAACATGCTTCTTGAAAAACACTTGTTTTGTTTTCAAATATTGATAAATTGTTTTGTCTATAAAATATGATAAAATAGAGACAAATTCTAGCATTCAGGATGAAGACTTGTCCCAAAGATATTCAGTTTACAATGATACAGAGTTGAGAAAAGAAGAAAATCCTCACATCGGAGAAAGTTGAACAATAAAAAAAAAAAAATTGGTGTCTTTGCTTGAAAAATGACTCAAATGATTAAGAGATTATCAAAATGATTGTAAATCTTCTGTTGTTTGATTTATCAGTGAATCAGTTAATTGTTTTTTAGCTGTATTTGAAATGAAGACAGTGAAATGACTATATTAGTCACTGCACATAATAACAATAATGTATAATTAATTTTCTAATGTTTAATGGGCTGGTTAAAGCTGCAGTGTTTTAATAATGATTCTCCTCTCTCCTAGGCGGACCTGACAGGCATTAAATGGCGTTGCTACAGCTTCCGCAATGGTGGGGAGTACGGGCCCGTGATCTCGGCCCCTGCCCAGGACGACCCGGTTCTGCGCAGCTTCATGCGCTGTGTGCAGGCCAACCTGCTGTGCGTATGGAGACGCAAAATCAAACCTGGTGCCAAGGAGCTGTGGATCTTCTGGTGGGGTGAAGAGCCAAATCTTTCTGACATCATTCACCATGAGCTAGAAGGTGAGAAAGATAAATGAAAGCAATAAAGGATGAGTGGGGCTTCTCTGTTCTGTCCATCCCAACAAATTTTCCATTCCATCGGTCTTCGCTTCAGTTTCCGTTTAAGCACTGAAAGTTTAGGTTAGAGGCTTGTACAGCCTGTATAATTTTACGGTTGCTTTTTATTATGTTGCATTGGATTATATAGACTGTAGAATGATTACCTGGAATACAGTCGTCTTGTCTTGCAGTTTTATTTCATGTAACACTGAATGAGAAGTAGTAAAATACATGTTGTGTGTTACAGAATGATTTTGAGTAGTTTTACAGTGAAGCATAATGCCTGTGTGTGTAATACATGAGATGTATTGTGTGAAGTATAGCCAGTTTCAGTATTATGTAGATTCAAGCTGTTTAGTCTGCTGCAGATTTAAGGTGTTAGTTTAAGCTGTATAGGGCAGATTGATCTGTTTTATGTGGAGCAGGTCTATATTTGAGCCTCATATAGCACATATCTGAAATCTGTTTGCTTTGCAACTCAAGTGTTTATATGCTGTTTCAGGACTAGCACTGTGATGAAGCACGCAGCAATGGTTGTGAGTGTTGGTGAAAATTACACCAAGATATCACTTGAAAGAGTGCTACTGTCAACAGAATTGTCTCTATTTATAGAAACATTTGCATTATCTCGCTGCGCATGTGTGTAGAAGTCTAACATATCGACTAAGCCTCAGGAAAACAGGGAGAGGAGGAAGCAGGAGAAGGATTATATTGGGTTTGGTTTAGCAGAACAACGGTCAGGAAGGAAAAAAAAAGATGGAATATTAGATGGAGAGGTTGAAGTGATAGTGAGAAGGTCAGTCCTCACTTAGCTATTAAAGCTGACTTGATGTGAAAATATCTTTCAGGCACTGCAGTAGATCTTTGACAGATGTTCTCTCTTACTCAAATGTGTAATAGCTAAAGACACACTTTACAGTTGAATTGAGTGATGTTTGCATCACTAAAATGGGCTAAGATAACTTTTTTTTTTTCATTGCTTCCCTAAACTGCAATTGATGATTTTTGCTTGTGGTACACACTGATCTTATAATAACAATGGAGGGTGATAGTGATCACAAAAACACAGAGTCAGTGTTGTGGCATTCAGAGCAGAAATGACCTGAAGCCATACAGTATAACAAGTATGTAGCAGTGTGAAATTGTAGCATTACTGCACCTATTTGCAAGCTGGTAATGGTAGCCCAAAGCATCAGTATGGACTCTGTGAGTAGCACACTGAGGTCTGATAACATGAAGAATAATCATGTCTTTTTAACTACATTCTTGATTATTTAAGATTGCAATTGTGTCACTAATCAAAATATTGCATCACTGTTTGTCCAAATATCAATACACACTGTGGAACTGTACTCGGCTAATAACTAATAATTAGTTACTTGTCTCAATGTGAAAAACAGCTGGTTAATCAAAGTCAAGTCAGTATTTTTGTGTAGATTTTTACAGAAATAATTGTCTTTGACACTTCTGCTATCTCTTTATGTATCTCAGGGCTGCAACTAATGATCACTCTCATAATCAAGTAATTGATTATGAATTGTATATCTTTAAAATTTTCAGAAATCAGAAACATGTCCATTACAGTCTCCTTGAGCCTAACGTCTTTGTTTTACCAAACGTCCAAAAAATACATGTATACATTTGAAAGAGTGGGATTATCAACTCTTTTGATATTTCCGCTTGAAAATGACCAAACAATTTTCAAACTACAACTAATTACGTGATCTATTACTGTACCACAGGTGCCTGTTGCAGGTTTTAATTTTGCTTACAGCTGTTTGTCTTACATTGTACAATGTGGCAGCAGAGTGGACTATCAGACCAGACCAGGATAGTTTATCTGAGTTTAAGAAAATGATTATTTAGTCCAGTTTTTGAAGCCTAGGCTAGTTGTTGTAGGTCTTGTGGCACCAGTATTAACACCACAGTGGCCAGTTATGGAGAGCCCGTGTTAGTGTGGGAGGACTCTGGAGGACAACAGATGTACAGATACTCACTCACTCACTCACTCACTCACTCACTCACTCACTCACTCACTCACTCACATACACATATTCTGCATACAGTTATGATAATAAGAATTCTTTACTTCTCCTGCAAAATCTCAGAGGTCTCACTGTATAACTCCTATTAAGCATTAAAATAGCACTGGGGATGTGAGGAGTTTATAATTATTAATTAAGTGAAGCTTGATTTCCTCCAAATTAGAATCAGTCATAACACAGGGAATATCAGTATTTTACCTAGCTGTAATTTCTGTTCACTGTGGGGATGTTTATACGTGTTAGCTTTCTCGCCCCTGCAGTTCTCTCACTCTCATGTCGCCTTGACTTCTTCCTCTCTTGTCTCTCACTTGTGTTAGTCTGTTCCTTCCTTTGATTTCTCCTTCAGCTCCTCCCTCTGTCTGTTCCTTGACCCCCCTTGTTCTCCTGCTGACCTGGTCATGGCATTAAATATTGCTGTGGTGCATGATGTTTGAATTGCTTTCTGAAGTTGTGACATTTCACCAAGAGTTACCCTTAGACACTACATACAGTATAACAGTAGACATGCTATACTGGAGAAATACTGGAACAAATGGTGTCATGAATCTTTTTCTTACAGTTTTACTGTATGTGTGAAAATAAATCAGTAGAACTACAGTAATAAATAAAACATTTCCAACATTTATGTTCATAAATTCCCTTAAATACAGCAACAGCAGTAGATCTACCATAAGAGAAGTTAAGTGGACGTTTCACAAAAACTGGATACAGTCACAGTCCACAGTAAGAAATATGTTACAAGTTGTATCTGCTGCTTTTTTATTGTTGTGTTGATCAAGTGAAAGAGTTGTGGGTGTGATATACCAAGAATCTAGTACAGCACATAAAACAAATAGCTGTGTTTTTGTTCTTACATCAGAGCGACTCATCCATTCAGAAGGGCTGTTTCACACGTTTGACTGAACAGTTAAAGCTGTTGTCTTGTCAGGCACCGTTAGATTGAATAATCAGCCGGTTCATTATTTTTTTTTAATCATATCACATTAAACCGGTGTGGATTGCTGTTTTAAATCAGCTGGTTAGACAGCTCACAGTGTTGTCTGCAAGCAGAGCAGTGAATGGGTGATGATTTTTTGTAATGGTTAAGAAGAGGATGTTGTTCAGGATGTATTTGACTTCCCTAAATGAATTTGTTTTCACATAATGTTCACAAAGGTTTTTACAAGAAAAGGAAAAACAGTGCAAACCAAATCTAGCCACGAGTCGTACCGCGTGATTCGAGTGTAGAACTGTTGAATGCATTGATGTTGTTTGAAGGTGATGAATCTTTGCACTAGAGGTTAAGCCTAAATAAATCATGCCTTTGAGGGGATGCCAGCAGCATGAGCAGCATGATCTAGTGTTACCTCTCTGCTCCTCTCTCACTGTACTTGAGCTCTCTCTGATGTTGTCTTTGGTCCAATGACAAGTGTTTAAACACCATGTTCAACACATGGCGGCTTGCTTTCTTAAAATCAGATGGCACTGGCCTGTAATGTATACAGCATATTAAAGCAGAGTGCGGGTTCAGTAAAGTTTGCAAGGACCCAGGTTTAATGTGTTGAGCGGGCTGAATCATCAGCATGTTGGTATCACAGCCAGAGAGAAACTGACATATTTTGGACATGAGTCATAAATATGAATGCAAACACAAAGTACATACGCACATATAGTACTGGTTAAGTTGTGATTGAACACAATCTGGACCTTGTGATCATCCAACAGAAGCGTCACATTCAGCAGATTTACATACATACAGAAGGCACACAAAGGCTTTATAGTGCAGTGTCATCACAGCATGGACACACACACTTCCCTGTCTGTGGTTGTGGGACCAGGTGATGCTGAGAGTTTAACACAAGGATGAATATGTTGTCACATTTGTTAAAGTAGAATTGTTGAATGAGCTGAAAAAGGAATCAATTAGTGTTTAAATAACACATTGAACTTGATATTAAAAAGCATCATAACTGCAAAAGTCTCAATTTTAATCAGTTAAACATCATCAACAGATTAAAGGCAATGTTATAGAGTTAAATGTGTTCACGTTTTATAATTAACCATTAAGAATTTATATTAAGTTATATTGTGAGTGTGAGTCTAGTGTCACTGCACCTACCAACATGATAACTACATTATGACTTAGCCTTGATTCAGTTAATGACTGTATCACATCAGATTTACTGAAAGTCTCATATATTGCATTTCTGTGACAATGTTGACACAAGAAAAAGGAAAATAATTTACTGGTTTGTTGAGGCGTGTAGGCCTTTCTGAGGCAGACATTTTATCTTGTCAGAGCAAACAAAGCACAGGTGTAACAAGACTGTCCTCTGAAAAAAAAACAGCAACTCTATAGCTCATCTGTGCAAGCAGATTGTTACGACGCATAGTTAAGTTTTATTGTTAGGTGACCTTTCGCAGCCATAGTAAATATGAAAGGAGCACAGCAGGAAGTCAGATGATGTAGTACACAGAGAGGCAAAGTCTGCATAGGGACTGGATGGATTTTTGTTTTCTTATCCATTATCATTTCATAACCCTAGCTGTGCATTTATTATTGTAACTATGACAACAAAGATCCTTTAACCTTAAACAAAGTAGTCATTTTAAAACTGCAACCCTAACCAAGCTATGAGCATTTCATAAAACACATAAACTGTGTTTATTACTGTAATCATCACTTTGCTCCACTATACGCTTGCCGCCATAGGGGTGCTATTTCAGGAGACACTAGAAGCGACCTATTTGGTTGATTAGAATTAGGTTGGAGGACTTGTTGGATGTTATCCATAAAGTGAATAATCACTCTGTTCCACTGAAGCGTCCCAGCGAGCCTTATAGAAGAGTTCTTGCACTGTCAGTGTCAAAATACCTACTGAGAAAGAAGACCAGTTAAATCAAAGACAATTAAAGGCTTGTCGGGAGTTTTTAAAT